CGATGCAGGGGATGCGGGTTCGTGCCCCGGTCCGGGAAGATCCCGCATGCCGCGGAGCGGCTGGGCCCGTGAGCCATGGCCGCTGAGCCTGCGTGTCCGGAGGCTGTGGGAGAGGCAACGGGAGAGGCCACAACAGTGAGAGGCCCGTGTACCGAAAAAAAAAAATACAATGGGAAATCAGGGCTCAAGACACTGGATTCAAAACGACTCACTGGATGTCACTGAGAAATGACTAAGTCTCATCACCCACAGAAGCAAGAGCACCACCAATGTGGGAACAGCTATAGGATTGCTTAGGGGCATATGCAGGCACAAAGGGTCGGACTATAGCGTAACAATCATCCAATAATCCTTCCAACCTCCCAGTTCTCCTTCCAAATACTTTGCTATTTGCTCTCTCTCGTTCCCTAGTCCATTAGAACCTAATGGGCTACATCACAATAAAGTCTGCAGGGTATGAATGCCGCTCAGGAGTCCCCAGAGTCTATACAGTTGGCCCTCTATATCCACAGGTTTCCCATCTGAGGATACAACCAACCCATCTGCAGCAGACAGTTTCATTTCAGTTATTGCTGACATTCCCACTCCTCTACCTCACATATCCAGAGGTGCACAAAAGTTCTAGAGGTTTTGCAAACTACTCTGGTCTCCAAGCTGCTCCACTGGCTACTGCTGAGCTGCCCCCTTTGTGAGTCTACAGTGGAATTCACTCACTCATGCATTAACAAAATTTACTGAGCAGCTACTATACTCCATACTCTGCTCAAGGAACTGGGTATACAACAAAGAAACAGGAAGATGAGACTGCTGCCTTCACAGAGCCTCCAAAGTTCCCTGAATGCTGAAGGATCTGTTCCTTCCTCAGGCTGCAGAATCTCAGCCATGGCTGGCAGTTCAGGTGGCCCAGGCACAGGCCCCACAGGCACACAACACAACCACTCCCTCTCTTCCCACCCACCTACAAGAAGCCATGCTACCACTGCAGGACACTCCAAGGAAGCCTGTCTTAGGACATTCCTCCTGTCTATTTCTCTCTCTCTCTCTCTCTTCTTCTCCTATCTAAGCATCAGGCACTCAGGAGCTCAGACTTTCAGAGAACAAGAGGCAGGAACTTTAGGCAACACAAAACTCTGCAGAGGACTTCCCTGGTGGCGCAGTGGTTAAGGATCCGCCTGCCAATGCAGGGGACATGGGTTCAAGCTCTGGTCTGGGAAAATCCAACATGCCGCGGAGCAACTAAACCCATGACCCACAACTACTGAGCCTGAGCTCTGAAGCCCGCAAGCCACAACTACTGAGCACACATGCCACAACTACTGAAGCCCACGCGCCTAGAGCCTGCGCTCCGCAACAAGAGAAGCCACCACAATGAGAAGCCCGGGAACCACAATGAAGTATAGCCCGCACACAGCAAGAAGACCCAATGCACCCAAAAACAAGCAAATAAATAAATAAATAAATTTACTTAAAAAAAAAACAAACAAAAAACTCTGCTGAAACAAAGGCATTGAAGAGACCTGGCTGCTAACTTGGGATGAGAATAGAAAGGGAGGGAAAAAAAACATGAAGGAAACAATACACACACACCCAAACACAAGTATCCCCTTACATTAGACTGCCACATATAAAGGCTTTTCTCCTAGAAAGCAAATGGGTTGCTTTCACTTTGAACAATAAGACAAAGTTTTTCCTGAATCCAACTGTGCACCAAAACGTTCACCACTGCTTTAAAGAGTTATGCCTAGTACAGTACCTGGCATATGACAGGTGAGATGGATACATGAATGGATGGATAAAATAACTCTTTCCTTCCTATAAGCCATACATCTGATACAGGGGAAGTTGAAAAACAACTTATGGACGGTTAACCATTCTGAGACATCTTCTTTTGAACAGATGAAGCTATACTTAGGGCATAAGCAATATAGGAAAAAATGTATTTTACCATGTAGAAGAATGGTAGAGGATTTCTTGCATCCAGATGTAACAACATAAGAATCAAACTGTAAAAATCCAAAGTAGTTCATTTTTTCCTAATCATTTTTATCTCACTTTTTATTTAGCATAACAAGGACTGACATACAATGAAATATTGACTTTATCATATATTAATCATATCGCCTGGGGAGGTATATTCACCTTTAAAATGGAGAAAATAGTATCTATTAATTACAGTTGTTTTAACAATGACAAGAGATAGTAAGGGAGAGCACTTACTATGATGGCTGCTAAGACACTCAAGAAATGTTTGAAACATGCGCGCACACACGCACGCGCGCACACACACACACACACACACACAGAGTCTTCTAGCTCAATCTTGAAGGTCATACATATATGTCCACAAATTCTAAGAAACAGTGAAATCTTTCCATCATCCTGCTAATCCCAATAAAAACATTTGTAGCAGACAAGGAGTTTTACTGATGTTCAAATCCTATATTTTTTACATTTTTTATATTTTGGTCTTTCAAAGCTTTCTACAAACAATAATCTAAGGTACAGTCCCTTGAAGAACCAAGCCATGTGTTTTTATACTTAGAAATTTCAATGAACTGGTTAAACATCTGAATCATATTTGGAATCTCTAGTTAGACTCTAAAGGTAGATAAACGGCCCAAATCTTTCTTACACGAGTTGCCCCAGACTGTGTGGACAGCTTCCCAAACCTACTTAGCATAAAACTTGTTTTTTAAACAAGAAAATAAACAGATTAATTCTCAAACATTGGAAAATTCTTAAACCTATAAAACTTGATTTGCTTTCTAAAATGAAGTAATATTTCCCTTTTCTTGTTTTTAAATTTAAATATTAAGTTCTCACAAACTTGTACTCTTCTACTTGTTCATAAAGAGATCACCATTCTAAACTATAAAACAGTTAACATCATAAACAAATGTGTTTTTACTAAGGTGTGCTCACAAAAACTATGATAAAAATAGTCTTATGAACATTTAGTTCATTTTTTTTACAATATTACTAGCTTTTTGATAAGTTTTTTTAACATCTTTATTGGAGTATAATTGCTTTACAATGGTGTGTTAGTTTCTGCTTTATAACAAAGTGAATCAGCTATACGTATACATATATCCCCATAACTCTTCCCTCTTGCATCTCCCTCCGTCTCACCCTCTCTATCCCACCCCTCTAGGTGGTCACAAAGCACCGAGCTGATCTCCGTGTGCTATGCGGCTGCTTCTCACTAGCTATCAGTTTTACATCTGGTAGTGTATGTATGTTCACGCCACTCTCTCACTTTGTCCCAGCTTACCCTTCCCCCTCCCCGTGTCCTCAAGTCCATTCTCTAGTAGATCTGCGTCTTTATTCCCATCCTAAGATCATTCAGCCCTAAAAAAATCGAAGTTCATCTCCTATATCTGCATAGAAGCCAGCTTTTATCATTTATTAAAAAAAAATCCTTTCAGCAAAGTATAATCTATCATCTTTCAAATCAAAGGAAGTAATTACACAATTTTATAACTTTCCATGAAAAGTTAATTTCTTTCCAATGTCTATTAATTTGATTTTTATTCTCCTGGGGACATTTTTTCGCTTTTATTCAGTAACCTAGTATGAAGGGATTGCCCACCCAGAACAAATAGTTGGTCCTCTTATAGTCTTCATTAAAAATATTTCTCTCAGGGCTTCCCTGGTGGCGCAGTGGTTGGGAGTCCGCCTGCCGATGCAGGGAACATGGGTTCGTGCCCTGGTCCGGGGGGATCCCACATGCCGCGGAGCGGCTGGGCCCGTGAGCCATGGCCGCTGAGCCTGCGTGTCCGGAGCCTGTGCTCCGCAACGGGAGGGGCCACAACAGTGAGAGGCCCGCGTACCGCAAAAAAAAAAAAAAAAAAAAAAAAATATTTCTCTCAGAAGTAGCCTCATCTCCTTCAATTCCAGGATCCTTCACCTCAGTGTTTAAACCCTATACCAAGTACATTCATGAAGGAATTAAACGAAGGGTAGGAGACTCTCCATTCCACTCTGGTCTCCATTATTTATCTTATTATGTCAGCACTTAACTTCTCCCACCCTGAGCTGTCCTACCTGTAAAGTGGACTTAGTAATTACCCCATAAGGTCAGGAGGGTAGTGCAATGACAAAAGGGGATAAATAGTACTAAAATGCTTTAAAATGTTCACAGAAAATATAGAAATATAAATATAATTTAGAAATATGTATTTCATTGTATAGAAATGCAATGTCACAAAACTAAAAGTAGCAAAAGATTGCAGTAGTTCTTTATACAAGGCTCGTCCAGTCTACACTCTTCAAATCCAATATTACATAATACTATTTGATATTAAAAGACTAACATTATCTAGAATTAGAGCTCTGACAGCAGAACATGAATGCTGATGACTTAGTATGTGATACTGCATCCCCAACCTCAATGCTAAATCTCTAACCTGAGCAAATGTATTGATTATGATAAAGTTCTTAGTGAAAACTGTATAACAATAAAACAGCGGAAGAAGAGTAAACCTTGATTAATCAAAATGCTTAGAAAAGAGGAGTTTACTTCTCGGTCACGGCCCAGCATCAATGACTCCAATACCCATTTTGGACAATAAAATTCCCCTGATTTCAGCTTACTGCGTCAACATTTACTTCTTACTACTGATATCTGAGTGAAGGAATAGTATTCTGTTTTCTTAAAGATTTTTCTTTGATTATGATTAATCAAGGAATCTAAAAAATTATAATACCCAGTTACTTACTAAATATTATAGCATACTAACTATACAGAATTTATAATCCCTCTACAGTTTTCCCACTAGGCTTCATCGAAGACCCCAAAGCTATGTGGTTCAGTTTCAAAAATTAAACCAGCATTTCACTAACCATCTCTTCTGGTATCAAAATTATTTTACACAGCATCTCTTTTAAGACATCATTTTATTTTAAAGCTTGGCATCTAAGGTTTCTAGTTTTACTACCCCTCCCAAGTGTTATAACACTTTCTCCTTTCACGGTGAATTTAAAATGGGAGTGAAACTTACTTTCTTGTATTGCATTAAGAATCTCTGAAAAGTCCACATCACTCTTTGGCCCGTCAGGTAGTATTTGCATATCCAGCTGGTAGCTTTGCAAATCCACACCTCCTTCTAGAGAAACGAAAGATATTCATGGAGTTTGCACTGGTTATCAGACAGCCCAGCATCAGGGTCCCAAGGAGAAGCAATGTCAAAATCTAAAAAGAACAGCCAGCTGGTTTGCCAATGATCCTCCCACGTGGACAAATGACTTTTAAAAAATGAGGAACATTACCAGCCATTTGCCCCTTATGGGACCAGAAAGGTTTAATTGTATTTCCAAGGCAAAAATAAGGCAATTACTTTATTAAAATACCACATACTTCATAGTATTTATGGATGATTTCCTAGGTGAAGAATATAATATGCTAGCCTCCACCCAAGGACATTTAAAATTATTCTCAGCTTCTACATGGCTAAAAAGGGACATTCACCACTAATACTTTATGAAACCATCTTCCTTAAAATGGTAATAATTTATTTAAAGGAAAGGATTTAATATTCCTGATATCACGGAAAAACGGTATCAATTTTTTCTCTCACAGTTGGACTTCCCCTGTTATATCATTTACTTTTCAATTATACCAGAATACTTTAATTTATTCTATGAAGTAGTTAAGGCCCTTGTACTAGGTTTGCCCAGTGTATTTTTGGTGTGTTCTAAAGAAAGAGGGTTTTTTAATGCTGCTCCACACACCTATACGACATTTAAGGAAGTCAAAGAAACCAAGATATCAAAAAATAGCTTTATCATTGATAATAATAAATCTCTGAATGCTTCTTAAAATAATCAGTAAGAACATCTCAATCTGATGAGTCTGGAAGGGCTAAACGTCAGTGCTAAACTAAACAGAGCGCCTGATACATAAAATGGGGCACACTCTAGCTTCCAAAATTTTTGTAGAAATAATTCTTTTATAAGCCCAGGAATTATTCTTAGCCTTGAATAAAATTTCAGTTACATCCCTAAAACTCAAGAAGAATGACACAGTTGCTATCTTACAAGAACACTCATTCTGGGAGGGGAATGCACACAAGTAACTATAATAGAAGGTGAGCCTTAGGAGGGCAGGAACTTTTGTCTGCATGCTATAACCCATCACTTAGAACAGTGTCTAGCAGAGTAGGCCCTGAACTAATGTAGATGGAACGAATTTATGAGGATAGGCGGTACTTAGGAAACAAAGGCAGGAGAGTAACAAAGGTATAAGCTCAGATTCTGGAGGCAGACAAACCAGCATTCAAATTCTTACTAGGGAACACCAAATCTCTCTAGATCTTAGTTTCCTCATCCATGAAATGGGTGATTGTAACAGTCACACAGAGTAGCCATGAGGATTAAATGAGATAATGCATGAAAAGCTCTTAGCTGTCATAGCACTCAGTAAATGGAAGCCATTACTATTATCATCCATAATAATTTATTATATAGCAACACTGGCATTTCTACAGAAACTATCCAGCCAATTGAATAATGAGAAAGAATCCGTAAGTCAATTATTTGGGACCAGCATGCATTTAAAGTGACAGTTAAGCACTGCAGACACAGCAGTGAATTTTTTTTTTTTTTTTTTTTTTTTTGCGGTACGCGGGCCTCTCACTGTTGTGGCCTCTTCCGTTGCGGAGCACAGGCTCCGGACGCACAGGCTCAGCGGCCATGGCTCACGGGCCCAGCCACTCCGCGGCATGTGGGATCTTCCCGGACCAGGGCACGAACACGTGTCCCCTGCATCGGCAGGTGGACTCTCAACCACTGCGCCACCAGGGAAGCCCCAGCAGTGAATTTTTAAATGCATGCATTCAGTTGGCTCATTGCAAGGGCTGAAGTTATCGGTGAGACTAAGCTTCTCAATGGAACAGAACAAAGATGTCTTCCTGCTGGCCCAGAATTTAAATGAGCTATCTGCTTTTTTCTCCACCATGGCCAGCTACCTTGAATGGGTAGGGAAAAGTTTTGATGCTTTTCAGCCTCTACTAAGGCTAGTCACCTTTGTTCTGCTCAATAACCAAAGACCCAAAGATCTCACAATGACATCGACAGGGAAAAAAAAAAAAATTCAATACCACTTTTCAGCCAGGCTGCGTGCTATGTACTTTATTATCTCACTTAGTTTTTACTCTAACCTTGAAAAGGAGGTGCAGTAAGAAGTAGTAATTTGCCCCCAAAAGCTATTAAGTTGTAAAGATGTAATACCAACCCATGCCCTTAACTGGTCTTTAAAATCACACATACAAGCAGTCAAAAACACAGGCTGTTAGAAATAAGACAATTTACCAATTTTCACTGGACTTAACAATAGTCCAGGACTTCACACCAGGACAAAAGTCATTACATAACCTAAAAAGCAAATGACTTCTAAAATAGTCTAATAAATAGAAGCCCAATTTATTTCCTTGCTGTTTGTCACAGGAGTTCATAAATTCATGTGGAAGTAGTTATGACTATGAAATAACTCATTTTTCATAACTGAAAGTCCATAATTTTTAATAAATTTTTTGTTAGAGGACAGGTAAGAGCATAAGAAGTCACAAAAGAAGAAACATAAAGAGGCATTCAGGTCATCAAAGTCTGTCTTTAAAGAATATTAAAGACGTGGGGAAGAAAAAAGTGAAGAAAGTGGATATAAGGATACAGATAAAAATATAGATATATCTCAAGTACACTAAAAACCACACTATTTTATATGACTAGAAAAGGAAGAAAATACTGCATTAGGTACAGAAGTTCTCTCATCTGTGAAATGGGTATATTTTGTTTTATTCTTTATTTTTTCTATGTTTTTCACAATATGCAAAATATTTTAAAGTTATTTAAAAATTCAGATTGTGGCAGTAGAGGATATTAAGTTTTTAAAATTAAGGATTCAAGACTTAAAGACTACAGATGTTAAACCATTAAGGAACTAATTTAATAAAACTTTTTCCAAATTAATACAATTCTTAACCTATATAAGTCAATCTAAATTGCAAGATACAACATTCTATTCATAGTAAACATTAAGATCGCATTTAGAATCCTTAAAATATAAGGCATTTTTCTTCCTCTGCTCTAGAAGAAATACAAAATTTATTTATTTTATGAAATACAAGACGTATTTCATAAAGTCCAAAAAAGTGTATTTTATGAAAATATACTTTCATAAGATATAAGGGTCTGGAATTTCCGGCAGTAAGTCATTCACTAAAGTCTAAGATGACGAAGTAGGGGATGCTGTAAAACAAGGACTACTGTACACTTTCCTAAATGGAGAGTGATCACTGGACAAGGATATTTTCAAATGAATCCGTCAAGGTGACAATCTTCACCCTTAGCACGTTCTGCCCAAGTGAAAGAGCCTGAATAACTTCAATATACAAGAAGTTGTGTGTCTACTTTGGACTTCTGATATTTAATTAATCATTGTTAATCCTGTAGTGTTGGTGTGACTTCTAAAAGTTGAGAATTGGACTTCTTCCTATGGTCACGGATGTCTCTGACTTTGAGTCAAAACACAAAGCTCTGAAAAAACTAGGCAAGTGGGTGAAGGTGTCATGGTTTCAAACTGAAGGGCCTCAGTAATTGACATGCAACTAAGTGCAATCCCAAGAAAAGGAAACAAATAAGTTACATTATAGAGGGAAGCTAAAAAGATTTCCTAAAGATGTGGAGAACCTACTGAACAACTTTTAGCTTTTCTTTTTTCTTTTTTCTTTTTTTTTTTTGCGGTACACGGGCCTCTCACTGTTGTGGCCTCTCCCGTTGCGGAGCACAGGCTCCGGACGCGCAGGCTCAGCGGCCATGGCTCACGGGCCCAGCCGCTCCGCGGCATGTGGGATCTTCCCGGACTGGGGCACGAACCCGTGTCCCCTGCATCGGCAGGCGGACTCTCAACCACTGTGCCACCAGGGAAGCCCTGAACAATTTTTAAAAATGAAAAACAGCAACAAAATTCATGTGCTCTCCAAATTTACCTTTAGCTTTTCTCACACTTGATTGACAGGAGTAAATTCAAATCTTAATTGTGATTTGTAGTATGAGTAAAACTGAAAGTAGTTTCGATAAAAAGTAACCTTGATAACAGCACTTGCATTCAATAAAACGTCTTCAGCTGAGCAAACGTCTTAAAAATTCACTTTAGATTTGTACCTGGCGTACATGGATTTTAGCTAAATGCTTATATATAAAAGGGACCAAAAAAAGCTTCAAATATGAATTTCTTAGTTACCAAATATGTCGATTCCTCTCCCATCCCAACCATCTCTGTCTATAGAAATCCCTTTCTACTTTTAAGGCCCCTCCTAAATGCTCTGCGCTTCAAGCATTTCTTGATTCTAACAAGTAAATAACCTTTTTCACCCACTGAACCCACATAGCTATCTATATCTTATCTTTTTTACAGTACATGTTTTCCATCAAAATTACCTAGCACCGTGTAGACACAGACAAATGTGAGTTCCTAGTCCTCCCTGTCTAGATTTCTTCCTCATCTCTAGCACCTTCGACTAGATTGTAAGTTGATGCAGGCCTGGCACCAAACTGCATCCACCTTTTTGTCTCCTACAGAACCTAGGACAAGGCCTTGAACATATTAGTGTCTCGGTTAAAGCTCTTTTACGGCAATTTCACATTACTAGCAACAGCAGTGGATACTGACTAAGAAAATGTCCCAGCTTTCCTTTCTAGTCCACAACTTTAACACATCTTGATAGGGTATCTATAGATCAGGGGTGCCCAACCCCTGGGCCGAGGATGGGTACCTCGGAGATGAGTGGAGGGGGAGCAAGAGAAGCTTCATCTGCCACTCTCCACTGCTCGCGTTACTCCCTGAACCAACCACCAGACCCCGGCCCGTGGAAAAGTTGTCTTTCACGAAACTGGTCCCTGGTGCCAAAAAGGTTGGGGACCGCTGCTATAGATGATTATGAAAGTCATATTCTAAATCATACATTTGCTCTTCCCTTCCCTTCTTTTTAAAATTTGTCAAATAATAAAGAAAACCTTCAAGTACCAAAGAGCTTATAACGAAAATCAGCAGTGGACAACTCTACCCCTTCTTCAACCCCAATCCTATATCCTCAGTCCAACCACTTTT